CGACAACACGCACGTGAATACCTAGACAGCAGGCACCACCTCCTCATATTCATCTTCGTACACATAGTTTCACATTTACCCTTTTACTCTTTACTGTGTTACGACAATCTGTAGATAGTGCCTAATTTTTAGAAAAAGTTGTTGATTATTTCCAAAGAATCATTAACTCCTATTTCCTTAGTTATATCCTGATTAATAATTTTATAATTTATAAATAAATATATGAATAAATACTTTACCTTTATGGCAAACATGTGTCAAAAATAAAAGTATGGATTATTAAGAAAAAGGGAACAAGTTTACTTTCTGGATTCAGTTATTATTTAAATCGTTCTTTTTCAAAAAGTTTTGACAGTTCGTAGAAAAAAAAGATTAAAAAATATTAAAATTAATGTTTTTAAAAATTTTATTTTTTTTGAAAAATACTCCTATTTACGTAATACCAGTTGAAAAAGTTCAATTATCTTACAAAAGTTGGTATTTTATTTTATTGGCAGCTTAAGGGACAAATTTTCAAATAATATTAAATGAAAGGGCTTACCTAAAGTAGCTCTAAAAAAGTAGTGATTTGATTTATTTATTTTTGACACATGATGTGACAGTTTAAAATCAAAAATGTTTAAATTTTGCTGATTTTACCAATTTTAAATTTTGAAGGTTACTTCCATTTGGGGGTTGAAGGAGCTTTTTTCAAATTATGGCAATAATAGTATAACTAGGTACTATTAGGGATAATTTTAAATATGGTTGAGAAATGTTGGTCCCTTAGATGATAAGAAAAAGTCGAGACAGGCAAAAAAAAGTAAATAAAAATCATGCAATAAAATGTGATTTTTAGTTATAATATTATAATAAAAATAACAAAGACGAAAATTAATTAATTAATATACTTATTAAAAAACTGATGTTCTTTAGGTATATCAATTAGTACGTCATCTTCTTCCGATTCATTATTGATAACTAATTAAAAACAAAATGATTAGTTGATTTAAATGACTTAATAAAATATTATCACAAAATTCCCTTATGACAGGGACGAATTAAATTTTATACCTTGTTGACTCGATAAAATTGTTTTATCTTCTTCCGGGACGTATATAAATCCAAGATTATGATACTTTTTATTAAATGTTGATAAAATTAAATTACTTAACTTTCCAGTAATAAATTTATAAAATTCTTCTACAACACCTGCATACTTGTATTCGTTTTCCCATAAATTCCAAATTGTGCCGGAGTCTGGGGAATTTATTTTACAAACTTTCATTTCTCCTTCAATTTCAATATTCATTAAAATAAAAAAATGTTCATAAATGTTTAGCGCATTCTTAATATCGTCTGAAGATTTGATTTTTAAGGGGTATTGATTAGATTGATCTGCAAATTGCTGTAAACCCGAAATAACAGTGCTCAAAATATAATGAGTTTTTTTGTTATACTGCCATGGACTATGATGATAATTTTCCAAAGCATCTAAAGCTCCTTTCATTATCTTTGACATCCGTATAGTATCATTTGTTATATTTATTAGTTTCATTGTACAATTTTTTGCATATTTAGTATTTTTTTGGTCATTTACGTGCAATTTACAATCATTTTGAAATTGAATTAATGCATGAAACATTATCTTTAAAACATAAGCATAAGTACATCCAAGAATTACTGTTGCTCTGCGAATTTGTGTATCACAACTAGCTGATGTTACAGATGTTTTAAGTAAATCATTTAATGTACTCTTTTTATTACAATAAGTGGCGTCTTTTATTTCAGTTAATTTTTTCCATCCGGAATGCTTTAATAAGTCACTTATGATTTTCACATTTTCTTTTCTAGTATTTTTTTCATCAGTGTACAGAACCGTGAAAAATATCAAAAAAGAAACTTGTATATTTAATATTATTAGCATATTAATATATTTTAAAATATATTAAAATTATAATTATACACTAAATGAAAAGAAAAAGAACTGTAAAAATTCTGTCTGAAATATGTTCTTTTATAAATTCAAACGGAATAATAATTTTTTATTTTTACGATTACTGAAATAGTTGAAAAAACACAAAAGTGTTATTTATGTTGATAAATAATCACAATTTATAAAACAATATATTTTAAGAAAAAATTTATAATTATTATGTTATACAAGGTGATTGATTAAATACGCTTTAAACAATGTATTTAAAAATATAAAACAATATTAAAATTATTTCTCTTTTGAAGTTAATTATATCCTATCTACTATAATTTTCAAAAAAAATTGGTCCTATCACTCCTTTTCTTATTAAAATAGCATCAACTTAAGTTGTTTGAATAAATAAAATTAAGTTTAGCTAGCTTAAATTTATAAAATGTTCTAACTAAGCAAATATTTGTTTGATAACAACTTTTAATTCAGTAGTTTAACATATATTTGCACTTATATTTTATGGCTGAGGAGTAAATCGGTTTAAAAATGCCTAATTATAAAAATAAATTGACATGTGTTTTATCCCCAGTCATTATAGTAAAGTTTTAATAGCATTCAAAATACTGTTTTAAAAATTGTTAACGACCTATCGTTTTCTTAATTTTAAGATAGTAACACTTTTATTTAAAAAACTAAATTAATGCTATTTTGGATATTCCCTCGTTTAAATTTTAATTTAAATTAAAGTTTTATGTATCACGTGGATTTGTCAGAAAGAAATATATAGAGTGATTCACTTATATTGAACCACTTAATTAATCGAAAAAAAAAATAATATTAATCATTTTTTTATTTGTTTCTTTTAGGACAATGTTACTCTCAATTTTCCAATCATAAAGTTTTTTTATGTTCAACCCTTATAATTTATAAGAGGTCTATTTTAATTTCTTAATTGCAACACTCCTAATTAACTAGCTTATCTAATAGAAAATGTTCTAATTAAGAAAAGTGCGGCTCGATAATAAATTTTAGGCCAGTATTTCGGTAGTTATCGACATACTTACATTTAGGTGAGATGAATAGTACGGCCGGTAAGTATCTTAAATTATAAAATAGTAGTGCCCTCTCTTCGTCTGCACAATGTGTGAAATGAGAGTGTAGCATTACTATACAGGCACAAGGTACAAAATACGCGTATGAAAATGTATACATTTTGTTTAATATGGTTTATTGAACGTGTATACAGATACGTAAAAGAAAATCCAGCGGGGTTAAGTAATATAAAATTATTTCGTTTATTTTAACAAATAGATATTTATAGAGCGATGATAACTGACTCTATCATTAATGGTAATTGTTGACCCAAGAGTTAGTCAAAAACAGCAATAGTAAATGTGTGTGTGTGTATATTGGTATACATTAAAAATAAATTTCATGCATTTATTGCAACACACATAATCTCCCGTTGAAAGACTTTGATGAAATGGCTTTCAAACTTTGATTGATGGTAGCGAATGTTCTCGGTCCCATGAGTGATATAAGTTCGAGTTTAAGTACAAAAATAACTTATTTAACTAAGGTACAATGAAACTACGGTTACATTTTACAACATATACAACAACAATGTTGTTTATTATATACAACATATAATAAACAACAAGAATTGTGGATTTGTATAGTAAAAATTAAAGCGTGCTTTATCTGATTACACAATGTAACAAACATAAGTAATGAATTAATCGACGATTTAGATGAAATGTGAAAAGCAATGATAGAAAATAGGAGAAACTANTAAGTAATGAATTAATCGACGATTTAGATGAAATGTGAAAAGCAATGATAGAAAATAGGAGAAACTAAAACGAAATGAAATTAAGAGCTGTTAATAGGTATCAGCGCTAGTTTAACTGCTGGTCGATTTAGAGTATTTTGGGCAGTACGAACGCTACTCAAACTAATCCGACGTTACCCGGATGTTCACTTCAATTCTAACCATCTTTCACTGGGTAGAAGATTGATTCGGAGTGTGGACTATGATTATATCGCCAATTTTTATATTTGATTGTCGTTTAGTCCTTTTGGGTCGGTTTTGTAGAGATAATTCATTCCAATGACCAATGTTTTCAAAAATTTGCAGTAGTTGACAAATAAGTTGCAGACGATTTGTAGGTACAGATGTGACATTGCACTCGGGTATTTTAAGAAAAGGTTATTTTAAAATATGAGTCAGCGTTAACGGAGTTAAATCGTTTTGGTCAGATGAAATAGGTGTCAAAAGACAACTATTCAAAACAGCTTCGATGCAGCAGGTCAATGTCGATAATCGTTAATGGGTTTCAATCGCTGACTTCCTCTTGTTCACACTGTTGATTTCACAATTATACCACATGGTATTGTTTGCTATTGTTTTTATTTGAAACGTTTGCTTAAGCCCTCGTGATTAGGGCGTAAGCAATTACATTTACTAGCTAAACTTATACTGGAGTCTACTTATTTAGTTTTTTTAAATCTAATTATTAGGTTGTGAGTTATTTACTTTTTTAATGAAAATATTTAGTTGATTTTATCTTTCACTTATCTATACAAGACTAAATAAACAATTTCTAGTCTCATTAAATAAGTAAAATGTTTAATCCACTAAACTAATTAAGGTCAATAATATTATTTACTGAAATCATCATTGCATTGTGATTTTTAACTTCATCTTATTATATTCTATTTTTTTTAATAACTGAACAATTCTATAATGTAGTCTAATATTTACCATAGACTCCAGTCATTTCAAATAATTTATTCAAAAAAACTGTTGAAATGATAAAGAAAAATGCATATAACAACCATAGAATATCTTAAAGGAGTGGATCCTAAATTAAAACGAATAATTAATTAATTGTAATTGTACAAATATATTTATACAATTGTCTGTATGTATAAATCTATATATTAAATCTATACACACTCAATTATTCTTTGTGACATCTATGTGAACTAATTTTCGATGTACTTAAAATACTTGCATTTATAATGACGTCTCATCGATTTCGGTTTTGTAACATCGCACGCAAAGACTTCGCAAGTCGGTTCATTAAAGTCGCCAGTACTTCTCAGTAACTAACATAAGCACTAAAATGTAACACCACGTGTCTCCAAATGTCACATGTCACATGTCACTTCGACGTATCTGAGATGAATTTTTGCACAATATATGTATACAATTGTACATATGTAGATATTTATTAAAACAATTTTTCGGGTAAAATGTTAATACGACGACATTCTTTATGCCAATATTGTAAATATGAATGGCAGTTAAAAGCCATAAGATTTGTATAAAGTATATTTAAAATATCAAAGCATATTCATCAAAATTCTGTTATAATTTTTTCTTTATAATTATTTAATTAATTAATTATACAACAGTAATACGTAAATTTAAATACACTGTCGTGTTTATCGTTAAAAATTTATAAGATTGTATTATTTAATACAAGTTGACACGGCACCGCCTTTTGCTCTAGGCTGGCGCTCACCCGTGTCTCTCTCGATATCAGCCGTCCAGCTATTAATAT